ACTTAGACCGGCACCTGCTTTCTCTAGGCTCACAGGTATTAGCTCTCTCCAGGGTCTCAGGTATTGTCTACTCAGACTGGCAGCTGCTCTCTCCAGGGTTTCAGGCGGAGGTCTTTCACATTACCTCCTAGCAGGCCCTTTTTCAACTGGAGATGCTGGGACTGAACCGGGGACCTTCCGCATGCCGAGCAGAGGCTCTGCCACTGAAGCCACAGCCCTGTCTCATTTATACCCTGCTTCATAGCACATTGGTCACCCCGGAAGGACAACAGAGATAACGACCCTCGTCCCCGACAGCTTTCAAGCTGCTGGGTGTCATGAGATGCAGGAGGGAAGCCTCACGTTTGTGTCTCGTCTCTTACCATTCGTCGTCGTGGTCCCCGCGGGGTTGTCCGTGCAGCCGGGAGCCGGCAAGGCGAACACCAGGACTCTGGAGATGGGCCCATCCTGCAGGAGGCTCCAGCTCTGCAGCACCTCTAGCACAGGGAAGGGAACGGGGGGGAGAGGGACTGAGTTCCCGCCATCTCCACAGTGCCTCCAGAAAAAGCACGGATCGGTGGCAACTGCATTTCCCTCCCTCCTCTCAAGGGCGGCCCAGGCCGTGTGTCTTGCACGGTTCCTCCGCTCCTCCGGAACAAGAGCGTTCGGAGGCTGCAGCTGGTGAAGGACACGGCTGCCAGAGTAGCTGTCGGGGCCAATTAGCGGGATCGTGTGTGTAGCCCCAATCAGACAGCCATGGCACAGGCTTCCCGTCCACTTCCGAGCCAAATTCAAGGTGTTGGTTTTGAAGAAGAGGAGGAGGAGGAAGAGGAGGAGGAAAAAGAAGAAGAGGAGGAGGAAGAAGAGGAGGAAGAGGAGGAAGAGGAGGAGGAAGAGGAGGAAAAAGAAGAAGAAGAAGAAGAAGAAGAAGAAGAAGAAGAGATTGGATTTATACCCCTGCCCTTCAGTACCGAAAGGAGTCTCAGAGCGGCTTACAGTCTCCTTTCCCTTCCCCTCCCCACAACAGACGCCCTGTGAGGTGGGTGGGGCTGAGAGAGCTCTTGACAGAAACTGCTCTTTTTTCAAGGACAGCTCTTATCAGAACTACGGCTTGCCCAAGGTCATCCAGCCAGGTGCAAGAGGAGGAGGAAGAGGAGGAGGAGGAAGAAGAAGAGGAGGAGGAGAAAGAAGAGGAAGAAGAGAAAGAGGAAGAAGAAGAAGAGGAGGAGGAGGAGGAGGAAGAGGAAGAAGAGGAGGAGGAGGAGGA